AAAATGATCAACAATTTTCCTGGTTTTATGATTAATGTTAAATTATTTGAATGTACAATACCAATAAAGCATTCCACAACCCTAATTAGTACATTGTGTTTAATGTATGCTGTGTGTGAAACTACATTGTCAATTAAAGTCATTATGTGTCTCAGTATACTGTTCTACTGTTAACATTTGGTTGGTATCACTGACACCACACTTAGCTGACTCCCTCTGATCTGTTAATATATGTATGATGCCGTTTTTTCAATCTAGAATTTGGACAAATTCAGCCCTTTTTCCAAATGGCATGCCATATTGCAGGATTATGCCAATTACAATAAAATAAATATTTCTAGCAGCAGACAGTTGGAAGTATGAGGATATGACAATTAACCAGAGAGCCATGCAGCAACCAAACCTGTGAGTGTAAAGACAGTGGGCTCAATTTGAGGGGAAAGGGTCCTGAGGCAGCTAGTGTTTCTTTGTGTGTGTGAAACTGAAAATGTATTGTGGGAAAAGAACATTGCTTTAGACATTGTAATATATTTATCTACTCTAGACCACATTTTCCAGTCTGTCTATGTACCCTCATGCAATTTGCATCTTTGAACTCCTGAATGAAATTTTAAAAAAAGTCTACATGGAGCTAACTCCATGCTGCAAATAAAAAGAGTTTAAAGCTACTAAATTCCAAATTCAGAGCATTCATTTGGCAGAAAACAATTATTTGCTTCACGATTTGTGAGAAAAGAGAGTAGTGGTATCCTTAGCAGAGAATAAAGTCACAGTCCCTCTGTGTGTTGTAATCCCAGTGTGTGTGCAAATAACCGTCTGCACAGCAACTTTGCAGAAGAATAGCGCTTACCGCACAGATAGCTGCTAGCCGCCAGCGCTGCGGTTGCCATGTTGAGAGCCGTGTGGAGCCCATCCCTCCATCATAGATATGCTCTGAACTTGGAAACATTTTAACATTGATCTCATGTTGTGTAGATGGAATGAAAGGCAGAGGATTATATTGGAATGCATTAGTCCCAGGGCTCTGTTATTGTGCATTCTGGTATTCTGGAATAGCTTACACTCGCAGCTAAATGGAATAGAGCCATGACGTTAACTTAGCCTTTACTTTCTCTGCTGTCAAATTCGTATATGCACTATTCTTAAATACTAGGAAGTCCCTTTAATGGGGTTTGAAGGTTAAGGGTGTTTTCATCTTAAACACACTGAAGGACTATTCTGTTCTGTCACTTGTGAACGTCATCCGATTCCTTTTCCTGGAACTTAAAGAGTAACACATTGTTTCTCCAATGCTATATATAAATGTTCAGATTACTTTTCAGAGAAATGCAACATGCTGATAACTAACTCTGACAACTGATATTAGAGAAGCAAAATTAATAATGGCAGATGATCAATGCCATTTGGTTGAGGTTACATAATAGAGTTAAAAAAAATCTGTTGTCAGGAGTTGCTTACATTATTGCATACTTTCCACCATAATCATAAGAGATGTTAAACTATATCAGAAAATGATATACTGTAAATATTATAACATAAGATTTTGAGATCACATTAAATCTAATCTAAATCACCTAAAAAGTAAGCAAACTATTAGAAGACAACAGCGGCACTTTTCTTCAACTTCGCAAAATAAACCTGTATGCTTGGCTTTTCTGTGTCAACTGATGCTGTCCCTTTTGTTACCATAGGAGGGCGCTGCAGTAAAACATAGGTAATCTGTATCAATGTTAGAGATGTGCAGGACTACTGTGGTTGACAACATATAACATTGGAAAAAATAAACAAGAAAACATGAAGATGGCAGAGATTGAAACAGCAATGGGAGGATTTTTACTGTTCAGGTGAAAGAAGAAATCCTATAGAAATGCAATGCTGACTGAATTCATTTACTGTCTTTGCCAGCAGGCCTACTGTTAACTACTGCTACAATCCTCTTTCTGCAGTTTTACTGCAACCACCATCGTGAAATACTGGCTCTGCTAGTGTAGAAGGACAGGTGACAGTCACTCAATCCACCACAATAATGTGATAACGTTGGAGTAGAGATAATCACAAAAGGACTGAGTTTGAATGACTTTGACCATTGTTGACATCCTTAATGCTCTATAGACGGATAATTGAATCAGCAAGGTCACAATAAGAAAACTGCAAGATAAAATTGCAGTAAGAGGACATTATATTCTTTATTTTATTAATTTCTAATCCTATTTATTCATTTAATGAATATGACCTTTTTTTCAGTGTTAGCACATTTTGCATGCAGGGCTCTTGGAGGCTTCATGTGAACTGAATAATAGACACTCAAACTGCTGCCACATTTCACAATGATTTGCATTTGGAACCTCAAGTCAGGAGGAAAGTGCATATGATGGTTATTTGGAATAGAATGATTTTTCCCCAAAAATATCATTATTGTGGTTTTGTCTGTTGACGGGCAATGAATATACATGACCATTTCAACAAAGCATTCAAACACACATGGAAATGTGATGTCAAAATATGTCCACCAGAGTGAAAGGCCATGCGGTGTTCGAAATATAATTCTTACTTATAGACCAGTGGGTTTGTACTGTTTACAACCTTTTTGGCTTCTGACCTTTCATAAAAAAAGCACTGTGTAAATGGGGCCCCTCTTGTCATGTTTAGTTGTTAGCGATTTCACCTGAAATACTCCCCTCTGCACTTCTCAGATGGTTTCATTTAAATAACAGTTTGAGGTTCAAAGAGGCGAATCAGAACTAAACACAAAAGCAAAGATCAGAATTAAGTAAAAAAAAAAAAAGAGAAGAGAGAAAACAAATTTGTTAAGCTGAACTTTGTTTTTTCTTCTTTTGTACCCCATTAATCAGCTCACAACCGCTCTGAATTATCTTGTGATCCTTTGGAGGGGGCCACTGGTCGAAACTAAAATACCTAAAACTAGCTCGACTTCGATCAGATGCAACATTAGAATACTATTTACACACTGATGTATCAATATATAGTAAACAATCTAATAATGTAATTTATACTAATTTATATATCAATCACAGTGGCCTTTTTACTGAACATGTACTTCTACTTTTACTGAACCAGGATTTTGAATGAACTACTTTACTTTGTACAACATTGTATTACTACTGTGAGTGAATATGATTTAGGGGGATCTATTGGCAGAAATGGAATAAAATATTCATATTTTCATATGAAACTAAGAAGCGTGTTTTCGTAACCTTAGAATGAGCTCTTCAAACTCTATAACAGACTCTATAACAACTGGAACGACAGGAATTTCCCCTGAATCAATTGAACAAAAAAGGGGTTTGCAGCATTTACTTTGTGTTGCAAAGAAATCCTGTTTTGTTTATCTTTCATCAATAGTTCAATTCACCAAGGAACTCCCCACTGAAGTCAGGACTGTAGTGCCACTTTGGATTTATTCATTTATTTATGTGGGTGTATGTTCTACCTTGGCGTGTGTGTGTCACCTGTCTTGCTTTAAGTAGTTTGATGTTTCTGATTACAGTGGGTTGTCCAACCAAATCTGGAGCACCTGGGCCCAGTGCTCATCAAATGAAACTATGTCCCTCACGTACATATTCACACACATCCATATTAAACCGCTGATGACACTGACTCCCAGGATTTACTTCTTGAATTATACCAAGTAATTCATATACTGGCAGTTGCTTGACCGTGGGCCTGGTTGTGACATAATTGACTCATTTGTTTGCTTAGCATCAGTGATCATATGCAGAACACAAATGACTCCACACAGAAATTCACTGCAGGATTTATTTAGATAGCCAGCATATGGTCAAAAACAAATACCGACTAAATCCCTTAAATGCTGATTTAAGTCAGCATGATTTACGTGATTCCTTTGAGGAGCTTGTCAGATAATATCATAGTTTTATTTATTTATTTTTTGAAAAAAACAGAGGTGCACTAGAAAGTGCAGACTGGGTCTCATTGAAGAAAATTGTTGTTAGTTACTTTTGTTAGGATGCTACTGTTGTCCTTCTGCTAACGTTACAATTAGGCTTTGCAGCAGCCTTCTATGACCCCCTCAATCGCTACTGCAACTTCTTTTACTGCATTTATTACATACCATACTGCTGATGAGCATCGTCATCATTATTGTCATCATCCAACAGTTACATACATCAGCAGGGCAGATATTATCTGCCGATATTAGCTTTTGCCTCCAATTCATAGATTGTTATCTTGGTTACAAATTGTTGACTTTAATATTGGCTTCAAAAATCTCCTTTGGCCGGCCAGTTGTGGCCCTCAAGCGTATGTTTGACACCACTGGACTAATATCTAATCTTCTTTTAATATCAATTTATTTTACTATTTTATGCCTGCATATCTGCTCAGGGACTACAGAAAATACCCCGTACATGACACGTCTTTTTGCTTGTTTTATATAAAGTTAATGCTATTTGTGCATTGTTCCTGCTCATAAAGATGTTAGAAGTTGGCATGTGCAATTACATAATAATCAATTAATTAAAAATCTGTATTTTCTCACAAATTTGAAGAATGGCTGCATGATGTGTAAAAATAAATGAAGGCAGATGTCCTTGAGTACACTGTAATCCCTATATATATACTTTACGAGTATGACAGTTATGATTTCGTCGCCACAGGAATAAAACCTGGCTGCAGCCTCAGAAACAAGAGGCCCCCTTTGTAACCTAATCGATTGTCGAGCAGAGAGGCAGACTGGGTCCACACTCTGTGATCGGTTTCTCTGTGTCAGACTTCCCAGAATAGCAACTCGGGCGGGTTGTCTGCCGATCTGCTCTGCTCCGGAGGAGATGGAGGAGGAAGTCGGTGGATTTAACAACTGTTGCTTTTGCTGCTGCCGCGGAACCAAACTACCTTTCAGTCCGCGCTGCATGGCGCACGTCGGGCTAGAATGAAGTCTTATTCCAGACCGAGACATTCAGTCGGGATCAATGTGCAAATTCATGGGATTATATAAACTCCTACGTGTTTAAGGTAAATTAAAACTGAGCGAGAGAAACATACGCGCGTGAATCGGTTTCCTGTGGGCTATTAACTATCCATTCTGTTGCTGCTTTAATGTAGCCTGTAGCTATTCAATATCATTCGACTAAACGGGCTAGAGGCGCTTCAGAGCTGCTGGAGGCGCATGTCTGCGGCAGACAAGGAGCGTCTGTCGGATGAATGGAAAGCCAGACGGGCTCCGCTGTAGACTGCGGTGATCGGATAACCTGTTGAATTGAAGCTGTCAGTCAGCCGTGCGGCCGACACAGCCAGAAATCCCTTAACACTAGAAACAAAAAAAAAACACAGCGCTTTATCACAACAGCAACAAAACTGACTTCACGGTTTTTCAGCTGATGGTTATTTCCAGTGATGGAATGTTTTCATGCCGGGTAAATGCACCCTGTCCTCGCGGCTCAACCCGTCTGCGCGTCCGCAAAATACAGTTCTTTCTTATTAGCTGCTGACACATGTGAATGCGGCTGTGGGAAGTCATGTTGTAGACATACTGGGAAGGAAGTAGTGTGAAATATAAATCGAGAAAGATGGAAAAAATACTTTTCGTATCTGAATTGTCTGGCACATTGTTGGTCGTAGCGTTCCTTGAAGGTAAGAACATGCGGCAGTTCATTTGACACTACACCGCACGTATACGCGCGAGGCTCTGCCGGTCCGACCTTGAGTCACATCTCCACACTGGCTGCCCACGGATTTCCAGTTTCGTGGTTGTTGAAAATAGCTTGGCTGCTCCCTGCCGCTATGGCTAATTCCTTAGGAACCGGTGGATCCAGTTTGATCCATCCCTCTCCTTTATTTCCCTTCGCCAACTTGTTGAGTCTTCGCCCCTCGGTGTTCCTATTGTAAAAAAAAAAGTGCGACGTGTACGGCTCGTGTAGTTACAGTGCGACTTCTGGAGAAATGTCGTTAGTTTGAATCATACGGGTGTAGGGCTCGATGAGACGGTGTCGTTGTCAACTTTTCAAGTGGAAAACTCGACTAGGACGCGCGCAGAAGAGGCTTTGAGGCAGCAACAGTCACAGTGTAGGAAACTGTAGATGCGCTCCTCCTTAACTTTTCTCTGCCTTTTTCTGAATCTGCTCGGATTAATTATCAGATACTCCTTTCATTGGAGTGTAATCGTTGTTGAAACATGCTGGCTTGAAAGACAGTTTGTCATACGAGAGATCACTGGACGACATAGATCATTTTGACTTTTTTTGTTTCATTAAAGGGAGGTGGAGACAACTTTACCACCCCTCCCTCGTCCTTTACTGAAATTACCAACTAAATTTGCACAGGGGAGACGCTTGAAGGTAATTATATGAATCCACCTTTTCTAAAATATATATATATATATATATATATAAAATTCATGCTACTTTCTGGTTTTGCTTTTGGGTATACACTTTTACTTGAAGCTTAAGAAATATCAAGAATGTAAAACAAAAGGTTTTTCCAACTTTCTGTGACTGTAAAGTGGCCAAAGTTTCCTCCATGTAGATACAGAGGGAGGCCAAATGAAGAGCTCAGATCAATAAGGAAACTGTTGCTGGCTACGAGTCAGATTACCATCCTCATTGTTATACAGTAAACTGCAAATAGTCACATCCAATAAAGCTGACTAAGGATGTTGGGCATTCTGCTTTGGGCCTATAGGCCAAAAGAAAATCTGCAATGACACCTATGATTTTTCTTTTTTTTTCTTTTAATGACAGGGGTAACTGTATGTAGCTAGCAGTTGTGCTGTGGCACCATACAGCTTTCTTGTGTGATCTGACTCCGTATTTAAATAGTTATTGGTAAACTTTACTACAATTCTCTCTGATGCAATGCTATTACAAATAATAATAATCTCAACACACTTACTTTGTATGTGTTGACTTTAACACATCTTCCACACAGCAATAACAATGGGTCCAGGGATACAGATGGACCTAAACTTTATTTTGCAATTCATAAAAATCAAAGAAGCCTGTTAAAGCCATGCATTATCGACTTGCCCAGAAATATTTAGTTTAAAAAATATTTATTTTTAAAAAAAAGTGTATCTCCCCACAGTTGAATGCCTCGTGTTTCTTTTTAACATAATGCTATTTATTGTGTTGCTTGGTCGGTCTAATATTTGCAAAAATATTTGAAGCGATACAGCTCACAGATTACTGTTTCACTGTGGTGAATGATTACATTTATATGTATTCCTCTCCTGTTTTGAATAAGAAGACAACAGCTTAAATAATCAATCGCATCATTTCTGAGTTGGGTCTCTTACGTGATGTATAATTTTGTAAAATGCAGAAAATGGGGCGACCATGCCAGCTTTAATTTAATGTCCAAATTCTTTCTTTTAATAAAGAATATGAAACAAAAAAGTTGCTGTTGCCACATTTAAAATAGTTCATATGGGGTAGCTTTCTAAATATACATGACTACTTCTCTAATACGAAAACTGCGCAGACCACAGTCTCTGTTGTATGCACCCCTGTGCACTGGCATCCATGCAAATGAAGCTGCTAGACAGCTTTGAATTTGGCTATTATTATGCTTTAAAACTAATTAATAGTCCACAGGTTCATGGTGTTTGTATGAATACTTGTTTAAGGTTAACTCTGATCATTGTTGCATGCAATTATAATGACACAGATTTCTGGCTGCTCAGCTTTTACGATACACACATTTGGTTTGGACAAATTAAGAATAAAGATAACTAATTATTTTAACATTATGCAAAAAAACCTCTATGTTACAGAAATGTAAATTTCACCGTAATCTTTCTTTTTATTCCCTGCAGCACTCCCTGCAGCACTTGAAATGGAGGCTCCCGATGGCTACTGTGCTAGTAAGTCCTCCTATTGCTTACATTCTACCTTCAATGTACACTAACATTTATTAACATATACTCTTAGTTTATGCAGTATATCGGAATGTGTTTTGTTGCACCGGTGACGATAAAGACGACGACTACGTTTGTGTGTTTTCGTGTTATTGTGACTTTGACATTATTCACTTACAATGCAGTTACAAAATAAGACTATTTTTTGCAATCGCAAGACCATAAACATTTCAAGGGATTTTCCCCTAGTGCAGGCTTTTTCCTGTTCACCCCTTAATGGTAGAGAAAACGATGCATTACCAACATCCTGTTGAACGCAGCAGATACGGGATACGTACTTTGTGGTGCTCCATTTACCCTTTTCTGGTTTCCTTTGGGCAGGTCTCTTGAATATCTCTCTCTATCTCTCCCCTGGCCCCTTGTGTTTTTGCTTTTGTGTGAAAAAAAACACAAAACAAAAAACAGGTAGCATGTTGTTTATGACATCAGTGGGGATTTTAGGTCTCCATTCGGGGTTTATGCTTATAGGAACACTTGGCAGGTGGGGTAAGGGTGGTGGTGGAAATGGAGGCTCTTCCTCTATCTGTCCGTTCTGATACATTCAGAACAAATAATAGTATGTTCCGTTAGTATAAAACTGCGGAAAACACATTTTTGTGGAATGCAGCAGTTTGCATCCCCATCACTCCCATGCATTTGACTGCGTTCAACACATTAGCAAGGCACTATGCTGAGTGCTGTTGTGACACACGTCATCATAATCTTGCACCACTATACTCTCCAACACACTATACTGTACCCTGCTACACTAAATCCTACCATCTCCTCTTACATGCAAACTTATTCTACTCACCATCATAGAACACACACATACGTATACTCTCTTATGAGCTGAGCGGCCACACATACAGCCACACCACACGTTCGCTACGTACATCACGAGCTAGCTTACTGTCTGCACAGTTTTATGGGAGATTGGATGCTATTCACATATATACACTATCGTCTATAAGTAAGCAAGGATAACAGTATCTGTGACTCAGAATAGTAGTATGATACATACAGTCTGACAGTGATACAATTGTATGTGACTGACAATTTTTGTGGTTTCAATTCCTGAATACCTATTTACAGCATTGTACAGAACATAAAGAACAAAGGGAAGGTACAATTTCTGAAAAAACAGAGCAGCCTTGCTATTGCTCTGACAAAACATGGTGTCCTTAACTGCACAGTGGCTAGAGTTGTTACTCAAAGTGTCCTTGGTCGAGATAGTGAACAGAAGTGTCCTTGGGCAAGGCACTGAACCCCAAATTGCCATCGATGTGTGAGTGTGCTGAATGTGCATTAGTTTAGATTGATTGCAGACTCTGCCATTAGTGTATGAATGTATGTGATTGGGTGTATGTTAACATGTGGTGGACAGCGTTTTGAGTGGTTGGCAGACTAGAAAGGCTCTGTATAAATGCAAGTCCATTTACCAAGTTATGTATGTAGATGTCCACTTGGTCACTGATTACTTTCACACTGTATACTAGCTTAATGTCTGACTGACAATACTTAAATAATACTTTTGAGATATTTAATTATTTGATGTTAGGTTGACAAACTGACATAACAAAACATACTTTACTCCCCTGGATACTGAAGGTCCAATATGGATTATTGGGCTGATCCAATGTCTCTGTCTACAGTTCCTGTTGTCGGCCATTCATGTTAAACAGAGAAACGTTTGATCTTTAGTTTCTTGCTCTAGTTAAATTGAATTAACTTTAATTTCATTTAATTATCATGGTAAGGTGAAACATTTTGGACCTGTGTTATTAATAAAGCCAGTGGTAACGGACAGAAATGGTGAAACTGTACGAGTTGTCCTCTTACCAGACTACTGTTATATTGAACCATATCACATTTTAACAAATCATCATTTCAGTCCAGTTAAATTTCATTTCATCAGCGAAACAAATCACATTTACAGGAGGTAATGCACAATAATTTGAGGGAAACTATCCAGTATCATCTTACAGTAACAACAAAATCTCCTATATACTTTCAAATTGCCTGAAGTAGAGTACTCATTTTCTAATCTGTTTTATTCTCTTTTATTAGAGAGCTAGACAGCAGCCAATAAGTTTCAACTTTAGTTTGACCGAAGACATTAACATTGTCATTGATTACATTAATTAGTTTCATCTTACAAAATTTGCTTTCGACTGTTGTTATTTCAGCCAGTGAAGTCAACGGTTACAGTTACTAAAACAGCGTTGTTAGTGTGAGAGAGAGAGTATTGTGAATACAAGGGGGTGTTGTAGGTTGTGCCGCGTACGTGTGAGATTATGATGATGATGTGTGTGCGTGTGTGAGAGTAAGTATGATTTATGACCTCAATGCAAATCTGAAAAATCTAATTATTACATTTATTTTGTCAGCAGTGTGTGTGTGTGTTTGTGTGTGCATGTCTGAGTGTTATGAATGTTTGTCTTAAGGAGGGTCCGGGGTTTGACAGGAAAAACCAGCTCCGATACACTGTGTAGCCAGCAGGTCAGAATGGAGGGCCACATAACTCAAAAGCAATCTCTTAGTTAGTTTCAGTTCCTTACCCAATTAAACATTATGAGCCATTTTCTGTGTATTTTATTTATTTCTGCCATCACAAGCAGGCTGATGGAGCTTGATCTATGTTTTTTGCCATTGCATACGTTTCCTGAACCTATATACCATTTATAAGTGCTTGTGCTTTCTTTTGAATAACTTGTAAGAACAGAAATTGCATTGACCCTTGTTAGATTCCATTTTCTTCACTAGCTGTGTATTTGACCATCGTAAGCAACGGACAGACTTAATACAGGTGTGACTTCTTCCTTTGTTTGCCAGTGATTGCCCTAAAGACAAGGACAATTGACCTTTGATGAAGAACGTCTTTATTTGACGTTATTCTTTGTTCATTAAAAAAGACATCATATTGACAGCATTGCGCATAAAACATCATTAATTTGATACCTTTTTGAATACAATTTACCTTGAAAATGAATGTGCTAAACCCAGCCCATTCTATCTTGTTATACCACTTGTACCTTGGGAAGCGATAGTGAGTCACTGTAGTGACAGCATTACACCTCTACTGTAGTAGAGGTGAAAGGCTGCCCCTTGTTTGTTTGGAGCAGTTTGCCAGATATTACACATTGGACCTTTTTCAAATCTTTAATGGAGGGTTCTTATTTTAGCATTTGAACCCAGGCAGCCCAATGCTATTAGCTTAGACTTGTGACAACCTAGCCACAGTGCTGCCAGGTAGTTGTCAGCATCTGCTAAAGTAATGGAAAATCCTTCATGACAAATCTGGGCCACTCCTGTCTTCAGGACAGCATTGCCAAGGGAGAACCAGTGTCGGTCATCTGAGATTTCCTCCAACCCCGACCTGTGCAACCCGAGCCCAGGCCCAGGGATTGTGTCATGGACAACGTCTCCCAGTATGCCCCACACAGTGGGGCAGCCACTACAATGTAACAATGCCATAGAGGAGGTTGTCAAACTAAGAGGAGCTGACACAGCAATTGGAGATTTGACACATATTTCTTTTTCATGTATAAGGGATCGTTGCAGACATGTTCAGCACCGACAAATTGTAACAAGGCCATCGTTGTAGCGGTCTCAGATGCAACACTGTCCTTTTATTTGAGCTAAAACTTCCCTCAACCATGACTATTGATACAACAATTAAAATAGCATGAGGCAGTCTGATGTCATTAGATTGGATATTTTCCACTTTTTCACAGTTGTCAGTATACTTGAGGAAAAACGTTGTGCTGGTGGTAAATGAAGGCTCACTTTGTTTCCTACGGGATCTGACACCTGGGTCAGCAGGGGTGTTTGCCTGTTGCCACTGTATTGTTCTTGTGACCCTGACGGGCCCGGGGTGTAAGGGGATAAGGGATTGGTTTGCTCTCCCTCAAACCACACAGGACACAGGACACAGGGCTATCCATAGCCTGGGTTCTGCACGGACTGCTGAGAGGATGCAATCTGATCCACATTTGCTGGACATTAGGATCCCATAGGTACAGATAGACAGTTTAGTTAGTTGCCTTGTGCATTCTATATGGAGACCTCCAAAGTTACCATTCGGGTCTGGCTTTGAAGGACATCTGAGAGTAGGATGAAATTAATCATTTTTATTCTGAGAAGTAATTACCATACAAAAGGCTACTGGATACCATTATAACTATTTGTTTAGGAAGACTTTTGATGTACTTTTTATTTGTATTGAAGTGAATGGACCAGGATTTTTCTTTCAGGTTAGGTGTGGAGTTTATCATCACAATCTGTAAGAATCTCATCCTGTAAAAAATGATCTTCAAAATACTGAATTTACACTCTTAGTTTCTCGCTTGACCACGTTTTATTTATATTTCTGTCCTCTTATTTGCCTTTAAAACCCTAATCATTACATAGTTGCATACATAATATTAAAAACCTCAAAGCTTTTTTTTCACATACTGTAACTGCCTTGTATTGTATGTGTTGTACAACTACAGTATTGTACAGGACAATGTCGATTGCTGTGTTTCTGCTTGTCTCCCAGGTAACGGCCAATGCTCTCCCGGTAAGGAGAACTCAAGAATGCTGGCGGCTGTGTCAACACCTAATGGACGGACAGTACCTCAGGTTCCTAATTCCCCAAGTGGTGAGTGCTCAATCAATAGATATACGTTTCTGCTGTCTGCCGAGAACCACAGTATGCACACACACTAGTTCTCGTTTAAACAAATATACCAAGGCTGTCAATCAATTACTATTCTTAATCTATTTCTTTATTTATTTATTGATTAATTGATTGACCATATATATCAATATTTGCTTATGTCCCCAAATTCAATTATTTCAGCTCAAAAACATTATATCATTGTGGCAGATAAGTAAAGCATTGGATTTAAATATCAAAAGGGGGCATTAGAAAACAATAAATGGGTTTATTTCCAATATTCTTTCCAAATACATCATCAGAGAACATTTAAAGGTGCAAGATCCGATATTGGGAGCATTTTTGATTGCCTCTCAATGGCTCTCAACAGCTCATAGCGGATCATAGCTAAATGTGCTAACAGTGAAAACTACCTGCTGGCAGAGCTAACAGTGTTTCTTCCGCCACAGTGTGTGTGTTTGTTAGTGAATGAGGGGCAAACTGCAAAGCATACAATCACATAAATGCCATCCAAATACCATACTCCAAAAAAACAAAGATAAATTAGGAATAAAGTGCTTTTTCAAATAAATGATACTAGAAATGTGGGCGCTGCAACCTATTTCCTTGACCCTCCCCTGACCCTATTTTAGTACAGTTTTAGTCACCTAAAAGTCCTTACATTTCAGTCAATTTTCAGTCGTTCCTTTTTCTCTCAATTTTGTCAGATATTTTTTTGTCATACAATCTTAGTCCTGTGTCAAATGTTCTTTTCCATCAGATTGTATTGGACATTTCAGTAATCTAGTCCACCCAAAACAATTGTCAAACTTATTTCACTTAAGATATTGTCATTGTCATTGTCATTATCTGATGAAAAATACAGGTTGAATGATTAAGAATGCAGCTTTGTATGGGCATCTTAAACAAAAGTAGTATTCGATAAACACTTTGATCATTCTTCAAAGATGAGTATAAGGTGATGAAAATAAAAATAAGGTTTGGTAAGGTTTTTATTTTTCAAAATACATTTTTTTCAATTATTTTGTATGTTTATTTTATCATAACCAATAGTGTTTGACGTCAGTTCCGTCCCATCATCGTTTTGTCTTAGTCATGGAAGAAAAGGTCTCTGACAAGCATATTTTGTCAACTAAATAATACTGTTGGCCTGACCCCTTATAAATATATCGTGCAAAAGACAAACCTCCAAGGATTGTGACAAAAGGGGCATGCACATATATAAAAAAGTACAAACAACTCTCACTTATTATTATTGTGCAGTAAGAATAATATTTCATATTGTGTATATTGTAATATTGCGAACCCTGATCTTAGCTGCAATTACCTTAAAAGCAAAGGTCTTTCTGTAGCTGGCAAGTCAGCTCAGAAATAACTGTTTTGTGATTTTATCCTCTTTTGGTGAATGCCCAGCTTGATAGATAAACTACCCTGTTCCATCTGCATGTTATTCAGCTTATGACTAAATAATTGTACTTTTCATTGTTCCTATTTGTTGAATCTTTCAGACATGAAGAGTTTTGTCAGCTTTTTCTCCTCTGTGAGTTCTATTGGTAATGGCATCTATCCGTGGACAAATTCTCCAATAAGCTGGTCCAAGATCCTTGAGGGTGCAAGTGGAGTGGACAATGATAGTGAAGGTTTCTCAGACTTTCTTTGAGGATGCGAAGCTCTAGTCATCCTGCATAGCAGTAATCTACTTTCCATCGCCCTCAAGCAAGCTTGAGAAGCTTATAGTTTGTGGCCTCATACATCTTGAGGTCCTCAAAGCTTTGTGGGCTTCTGACATGGAGCAATTTTAAATAGAATCTATCGTGATGCACTACAAACACGTTGCACATCATTTCTATCATCCCAGGAATCTATTCTTCCTCTGGCTATATCAGTATTTTTTTATACATTAGCATGTGATCATTCCAAGTAAAGTGTTCTGGAATCTCCACGTAAAGTAATTGTATTGCCTCAGGGTCCCTCCCGTTGAGTTTACAGAAGCCAAGCAATGTACAGTAGTGTTTTTGGCTACAGCTGGGACCTCATGTGGAGGGCCTTCTCTGAACGCAAAATTATGCTGGCCTTCTGTGTGGATAGCAAGATTGATCACTGCAGGCAACCTGTCCTGGACATGTTATTTTGTTGCTCTCCAGTGAGTGTCAATCAACCTGTCATTGATGAAGATGAATATCTCATCCCTGCTCTCAATGGTTACAGTGCCGATGTCAACTTACTCATGGGTATACCTGGAGAGGTACAATGGCATGGAAGGAGCCAACAAATTCAACATTGATGTGACACTTATATAGGACACAGGGGTTGTAAGGAACGACCCATCTGCTGTCAAAGGTGAAGCCATTCTTCTCAATGGTGTTACCATCGTCTGGTCTTTCACTGTGGTGACAAATAGATCACATGTCCTGTATCTGGTTGCTTTTGCAAGGGTATCCAGATGATGCGCTGCCAATATGTGAAAATTAAAGAATGATCTGTTGACCAATCCTGCTCTCCTCACTCTCTCCAGGCTTGCTTTGCTGAGCAGCCTGGAAATTAATCAGACCTGAATACTGATGGACTCTAATTGTCTTGCAGTTCTTTACTCCTGTAGTACTTCCTCCTTACTGCTTCTATCTTGCTGTAATGATCACAGAAAAATATGTGGGTAAGTCTACCTGGCTTCAGTAGAGTGTTGAAGGAGTTGGTTCTCTGTTGTAAATAGAACCTGAAAAACTCTGAAAGAACTACTTTCTCCCTGGCTTGGTGTCCGGGAACCTTCCGGATGGGATTGCCAATGCTGAAGCTAGCATCCCTACCAACATTGAGGTAAATTGTACATTGTAACAGAAATTCTGAATTCACAATTTTTAAATATCACTAATCACATCAACAACAAATTATGCAATTGTAACATATTTGTAGAGTATTTGTCTTTAACAACATAATTACCTTAATGTGGAAAAAATCTGTTATTGTGCTCATAACTGCAATTATTTTCAAAAGCCCCCTTAAAGGCTTTGTTTTATAGAACATGCATGTTATGGAATTCCATTTCATTCAGTATCAAATAAATATATAAATATGCCTATGAAATGAATAAATATGCCAATAAAAGGAATAAATAAGACAATATATATATATATATAACTGTAAATATAAATATACAAATGTGTCAATAAAGTTCAATAATCAAATTAATATATTTTTATCTTTTTAAAACGACATTTTACAAAGCACTGTATTTATTTATTTCAGGGGACTTTTATTTCCTAATGTCAAATTTATTTCATAGCTCTTTTTTATTTTCATCTGTTACATTCAAATGAATTTTTCATGGTTATCTCACAGATCCAGACCACATCATTAGAATTGGTTACTCAGCCTCACTCCTAGGATGCTGGGGGACTGCTTAGCCGGAATGTTTGCTGATCCGGCGGGGCATTAGGATGGTCCGGGATCAGATTCCCGGCGCTGGGGTTATGACTGGCTGAATTAGAGTTGTTACTGTTCAGTCAACAAATGAGATAAGAATTTTCTAGCTTAGCGCACCCCGCAGTGCCTCCCTGCTGCTAGTAGCTGGGAGGGGGGGTCGGATGGCAGCTCTAGAGATGGAGCCGTTGTTGCAATCCATATTTGGCAAGTCCTAAGCCCAGAGCTAGGGGTAGAGTGGGCGAACCCATGTACTAAGGCTGAGTCCTTAGCCCTTCGATACAAATTGTCCCAAGCTATGTCAGAGGAAGACAGAAAAAAAACTTTAAAAAACTTTTAATAAGTGGAGGATTTATTGCCATTAATAAGGCATTGTTTTTGCTTTAGTTCCCCTTAGTTTAGTTGCGTTCCCCTGCAAAATGCAGAGTTACTTCTGTTTTTTTGTAATAGTTGAAATTATCATTAAATCCAGATAGCAGACATCATTAAGCTATTATTAACTGTTTAAAGCAGTCTATAAACGCTTTCTTATGTGCTTAATGTCTTATAATCTAGCACAAATGGGTTTAAAATGCTAGTATTAACATTTATAGTCTTGTTATCATTTAATGATATTAATAAGCATCTTATAAGGGACTTATACTTATAATCTTACGCCTACCAGCGTTATCAGTCCATCTGAGGAATATGAAATTAAACTGCATTTGTGACTTCTTGTGGAGCTGTCCAGGCCCTGCTGAAGTCTCTCTCCTTCTGTCTTGGCCATCTGATATTAGATATATGTACCGGGGGCCACATGTTGGTTGCGGGCAGTTAGTGTTAATTGCTATTTTAAAAAACTCCATTTGAATGAGTATGTGATGACTACAGTGGACACCATGCATTGAAAGAGGCAATACATTTAAAACAGGACTTTTTTTAATACATGATGCACTCACTAGATTGTAATGCCTGTAGTTGACACTATGCATGAAAGGAGTAATGGTAAGGTATGAGTAATTCATTACCTTTGACCTCTTGCAGCTCCAATGATCATTCTCTGTCGATTGTCCTCACAGTGCTCAGCTCAAAAGTCAGATAGTTGTTTGAAATGAGATACACAAAGCAGTTTCTTATCCATGTTTTACATTGATATTAGATGGCTGTGAAGGTAGATGGAAGGTTTGATAGGAAAGCATAAATAATAAGCACGAAACACGAATGCTGCTATCTGGCTACATTGTTAGCATGCTAACGGCAAATTGAAAATAAATAATATACATCAGGATTCTTAGCCTACTTCTCTGGAGATTCACTACTGGGCAAATTGCAGGCAGTGTTTTCTTTCTTTTCTTTTCTTTCTTGGCATGCTGTAAACTGCTTTTGTCATTGTCCTCTTCTTCTGATATATGTTTGATAGATTCCGGTAGAGGAGTAGCCGCTTTGTGTATGGTTGAAAACGTAGAACAGGGACAGGAGTTCCACTGCAAGTGTTTATGTAACATTAAAAGTGAAATGAAATGATAAAACAACACTAATAACAAACTATGCAAAATCCAGCCCCCTGAACCTTGTTTGGAGCATGTTTGGAGGGTATTGGAGGAATAGGGTGGAAGTGATAACACAAACCCACAAACACAGAAATCCACAAAATCCTCCAAATATAGTAGTGGGACGAGAAGTTAGAAGAAAAAAAAGTAATAGGATAAAGATGGATACTTCTTACAGTAGCAGTACTTTCCACAAAGCTTAAGAACTTTTGTTCAAAAATGACATATTGCAACTTGTTGTACAATATCACACGTGTTGTGCGGTATAGCACGTACCCAGAAATGTTGCCTGGTTCCTTTCAGTGTATTGATGTGATGCCTCAGATTAGCTCCAGCAATGTCACTGTGAAGTAGCAAAGTAAGAAAAGGGGAAACTACGTGAGACGGGGCAACTGTGGGAGAAAAAGGGAAGCTTGTTTCCCACAAGTTTAAAGATACAAGGAGGTAAGCCGGGCCATGGTTTCACAGGGAGATACTCTTCACTGATAAGAACGTCTGTCATTCTGGAAGTTGCCTATCATGATTTGCCATTTGAAGTTTGGTTACAAAAGAAGGGCTACGTTATATCATCTGCTGAAAATAAGCATGGAGCACTGTCACATTTTAGTGTCAAACACAGGTTGTACAGCAATTGTCCTGGATGTGTGCACTTTCTGGTGATAAAAGGTAGAGGAGTAGAATTATATCCTTTGGGCCAGATGACAGTTTGGGTGGTAAAAGCGACATAATTCATTCTTCTTAATGATCTCTTGCTTTCAGTTAACCTCTCAATCAATTGTGATCTTTTCCCCTGGTTTTCTATGGATTATGGGAAACTCAGATAATTCACAGACTCTGTGCTGTAGAGAGGGGTAGAAAAATGCCAAAACTTCATCTTAGTTATTTTCATTGCTGCTTTTGTCGGAGCAACCGTCAAGTGTATCCTCATCTGACCACTCAATGCATTTCACTCTGCCACCCTGGAGAGACAGATGTAAAGATACAAGGAGCTGAATAGCAAGGACGTTCAGGTCTGCTCCGTGTTGCCAGGATACAGCTGTCGAAGGCAAGGCTTGATAGCAATGTGGGTATTGGAATGAGTGTTTCTTTTGTACAAACTTGGGCATTGGAAACACACAGGATCAGTTTAAAGAATGCACTTGCTTTGTGGAGATTTCTCTTGACAGCCCATAAAAAAAGAAATGTTGCCTGAATATCTAAATTTCTTTAACTAGCCTCGGAGAGAGTGGATACAGTTCCAAAGCCTGAAGGGACAGTTGACAGAAGCAGTCAGATGGGAGGCTTTAGTAAAACGTCATATGCTCACACTGTGATTATTGCCCCACTAAATCCCAAAACAGGATCATCAGGATGAGTAAGTTTTGCTTGGATGATGTTGAAACATTTGTTTCTGCAATATGCCTAAAGCCCCTTTCACATCCATTATCAACCCATTAACAAGGCCAAGATTTGATTTTTGCAGTATGTCTTATTACCTAGTATGATTCTTGGAAATCTTTTGTCACAGCTGTAGTGTGAACAAAGTCAATTCTACAAAAGGGGATCAATTCAAGTTAAGCTTTACTGTATGGCCCTGAATCAAAAGTTGGTTTTAGGGGGCTTTATAAAAAAGTATAATTCAAATAACAAAAGCAGCGTAATCCTCGTTATAAGCATGCACATGGTTTTCATATTGTTGTGTATAAACAATGTTCAAAGACTAAACAAGGCAAGCACAAGCAACTGTAAATATGACAAACATTCCTGGATTATTTTGTAAAAATATTAATTAGATTCTATATACAGCATTTAGTGTGTAAATGTCTGTCAATGGGGCAAGATCCGAGACAGAGGAACTGTTTCCTTTCCTTCAGAGGGGAAGTCTTGCTCAAGCATTGTCTCGTCTATCCTAAATTGTCAGCTCATGTGGTTTGTGCATGGTAAAATAATGATATAATAATAATAATCAATTGTTTGGTTGAATATTTTGAAACTGATTTTCTGGTTGACTGACGTGTATACAATGTGTACAATCCAGGTGATTATTGGGACAAGAGTCACCGGGAGTGTAGGTGGATGAAACTAGGTGTAGCTGTGAGTGTGTGTGTTCTATCTTCTGGGTAATTATTTTTGTGTACAAGTATTACTAATTGCCGGTGATAAGTAGAGACTGCAGGTGGTGAATAGTTTCCCTCCACAGCCACCCACACACAATTATACAATCTTTGGCCCTTGTCCTCCAGTCAGTCTCCCATTGCTAGTCATGTGCTCTAAGCTACAGGGCCTCTGACACTCCCTTTTCTGCCCAGGGACAGCCAAGAACCAGACCAGCCTGTTTCTCTTCCTCTCTCACTCATTTTCTCTCTTCTCAATGTGTCAGTCAATCCTAATGCTGTCTACGAGTTGAGTTGCTAAATTGGATGCCCACTCCATACTCATTTAAATATGTTATTTCACACAGCTATCCGTCTTAAGTCATTATTTATGTCCATTACAGATCATTATACTTCTAGCCAAACCAGTCCATCCTGCGACCAGAACAGTTCACTTCAGACCTTTACAGTTTAAATCATTTCAACAGAGGATACTCTCCCTAATCTCAACTCTAGCCAACACGCTCTACCCTTGGGATGTAGACAGCCTCTCTTATAACCTAACCTAGGTCAATCCATCCATTCCAAATAAACACGGAACCTTTTTGGTGTAATCTGCTCATGCGTGACCAAGTCACGCAAACCAAGGGCCAACCAAGACTGCATAGTTGATAAATGATTCATTGTTGCTTTAGAGCATTTTTGTGGTCGAGGTTCTTTTATGGCACTCCCATGAAACCTGCAGTATCTACGTTTGACGCTGTAAATTCTGCATCTCAGGATTGCCGTTGTTCTATCTTACAGAACTGGAAATTAAACAGGAGGAAGAAACAGCAGAGGAGGCTGACAACAGAAGCCCAGCAGAAATAAGCCAAACAGAGGAGGAAGGAGTAGCATTGGAAGAATCCATGACTGACAGCCCAAGCAACATACAAGATGGATTATCTGAGACAAACATGACAGCTGATTTAGGAAGTCGACAAACACACGGTAACAATAATTACATTTACAAATGTCATTTAAAGACGCTACCTGGTACATTATTAGGTATTGACAATCCACAAAGGATATGTCTTTTTTTATAATTAAAATCTGGGTGGTGTTTGTTCCCCACCTTCAGGGTGAGTCACACATCATTTGTTTTCCTCGACAGTGGGTGTAGAGTGCTTTCTGCTTGGTTGTTTTTTTTGTCTTTTTCGTTTGTTTGTTGAAGGACAATAGCTTAGACTTGGAACTATTATCAGGGAAAATATCCTTGGAATCCCCCGCAACCTGTTCCAACTGACGCCATGGCTGATCTGGTTGTCACAGCATTAGGATCATATTTCTCTTTTCCAACTCGCTGCAGATCAAAAGATTTGCCAACAGAACAGTGGACAGTAGTTGTGATTCAATGGCAAATCAGAAGTGTGTACTGAACAGTTCAGTACACAGTTCATGATACAGTTCAGTCTGAACTGTATCATTTCACATGATATAAAGTCCACAATACTATTCAGGAGAGATAGACAAGCACACATCTACATTTATTACTCTGGAAAAGATTGCATTTACTGTGGAAATGTACACAAGTAAATGCAGTACCAGCTCCGTTTTTATTTTATATACTTAGATATCTGCTGCATACCCACTTCACCTGATATGCATGTCTTTGGAATGAAGAAAACATGGGGAGAAGATGCAAGTTCAATTAAATCTCAATTATATTAGTTTTAATCATTTCAGATAATCATTTAATTAATTTTAGTGAGAGTAATAATAGTTTAATCTAATTTAAAACAGTCAACCTAAAGTTACAACATAGGACAGTTTACTTTAGTTCATTTCTCATTAGTGCTTTGTGGTTCCAGCACATGGAAAGACAAAGTCAATTGTCAGTCACAAAAACAAAAAAGGTAAATGAGTTCAGTTAGATACAAAAAACAGCTTACACGGTTGTTGATACTTTCTAAAACCATTATCCACAGTATGTGGTATTGACTTCCTGTGCTTGCCTCTATCAGGTGACAGGCCGTTCCAATGCAACCAGTGTGGCGTCTCATTCACCCAGAAGGGAAACCTGCTAAGACACGTCAAGCTGCATACAGGTGAAAAACCCTTCAAATGCCCCTTCTGCAGCTACGCCTGCCGGCGGCGTGATGCCCTCAGCGGGCATTTGCGCACTCATGCTGGTAAGACTTCTCCTCGCCCTCTTCTTTTTCCTTTTTACTCATCCACTTCTGTTACCCAGAAGAGACTTTTATCTAAAGTGCTTCAGAGATCTGGAAAAAAAAAAATGCTCTAAATGTTACGATCTTTATTTTAAAAGATAAATTATTTTGTTTTGAATATTATGCTTGTGTTACCTGTACCTAATTACCCCAGTCTTCCTCAGCTGATAAGCTCTGTGTGACTGAGAGTCTAATATAAGAACTAACAGAGCTATAGTGGCCATACATGCTGGTTGGTGACTTAGTGTCTCGTATCTGCTGCAATGATTTTTATTTTATTATGAGCATGTTATAGACAGCGTGAGTGTTTTGTGGTTAGGTATCAAGGACATGCTGTTCCTTAGTTGCTTGACTTGCTAGGGAGGAAACTATCTGTCTGTTGAGAAACACATGGGGAGGGCTGGCAGTCGCTCTCAACTGTAACCCACTTTCCTATCAGAGAGGATATGCTCTCCCCTCTTTTGCACCTTTGAAATCAAGGTCAGATAATACTGTCATTGCTGCCTGTGATGCCCCCATGGGGGTTACTCGTACACAGTTCTCTTTTAAGACAGAGACAACGTGTGTTTGGGTGCGCATCTATGTGTATGCGGCCATTTTTTTTGTGTTTGCATGTCTGTAATCTCTGTCCCAGTTGTTACTCAGAAGTTGTTATCCATTTCCTAAGATCTATAGCTCCACACCTGTCTTCCGCCATCAACTATGACCCTTTTCCTACTTTCACTTCCTTTATTGTTGAGCCGAATTTGTTTGTCACATCCCCTAACCCCTTATTCCTGTAAAAATTTGAGTACTAAGTTACACTTGCCTTCTTCAGGTCATTCAGTGGGTAATGTGAGGAATTTGATGTTGCCAAGTTGTGCTGGCAGGACGTTCTCTAACGTACAGTGACACCACTCTGTGTAGTACACCTGGCAACTTTGGCCTGGTGTTGGAAAAACAGCTGTAGCCAAAAGAGGGAATACAGCATTGAAAGAGACCCTAAAGGAAAAATGTAAGACAAGAGTGAGAGTCAGAAGAGAGAAAGAGGGGTAAGACAAAAGTGTGTCAGATTTGGCTGCTATCCCTAAGGCCAGGTTAAATGTTGGAGAATGACATTATCCATTGAGGCATAGTGCATTGGTAGAGTCATTATTCAGCAAACGCTTGAGAGGCAAAGAATGTATCATTTCGTTTTACAGGAGATTTATATTTGAGCTCCCATTTATCAGCCAAAAGCAATCAGTCAAGTGAGTCTGAGTGCACAGTGTGGACCATTTGCATGAATAAGATTAGCGTCTGAAAGGTGGATTCTTCAGGTCCATCCAACATCTGCGCAAGGTTGTGTGTGGGTGGTTATATAAATATGAAAAAGTAATGAAGTCTATGTGTGTGTGAGTGAGAGAGTGTGTAGATTTGAGCTACTAAGAACATGGAAGTGATGCTTGTTTGAATACTGCCTACTCCTTCACCAGCCAAAATGAATATTACTGCAATGACCCTGCAGGTACACCAACCCACGCTTTAATAATATGGAAACTTTTTGTCATTAGCCACTATTTTTTTGTATCTGTTCATACTCAGAAAAAAAGAAATTACAATGAACTATGAGTTTTGCCGATACAGTGTCATTCACAGACCACTGAGTCCTGAATGACTGATACAGCAGAACACCTATTATCATTCCACATGATTCACTAAAGAGAATAGTGTCTGCTGATGCAAGATTGGCCATGGCTGGCCATGTCATTCTGTAACCAGTGGGTTTTATTTCCCTCACACAAATCATCAAGAAGTAGTTCTTGGAAGACAATGTAACATTTACAGCTGAAGGAATATTAATTTCTGAGTAACTTGTCTTCTTGTAAAACATATAATGTGCAACAAAAAAACTCCAAGTCCTTTCTGTGGGAGAAAGAGTACTCAATGTTCACGTGTGAACTATCACCTATGTCTAAATGTGTGTGTGTGTGTGTGTGTGTGTGTGTGAGTGTGGGTTACAGTCTCTGTGCCTCAGACTGAAACATGTTTGGTTTCTCTGTTCTCACAGTGAGAAGAGCACTGGATCTTTTTCAAGTAAATAGCTGTCACCATTATCTCAGTGAATGTCTTACTACACCGCGTGGCTAATGGTGGTGGGTCACATCGGTATGCTTATGTGGCCTCCAGTTCGCTCAGTCCCTTTCTGAGTCATTATGTTAGTTTTGAGAATACATACAGTACAAAAAACTATATCGTCAGCAGTGTCTGCTTGTGTAGGGTTTTCACTTCAGTAGAGCAATTTGGAATGAAAATTTTATACATTTTGAATACAACTTTTACCTTAGTATCCAAACAGCTCATGTACTCTAGTTCAATTATACAAAGATGAGGACACTGGTGACCTTAACATCTCATAACTATATGCCCTTATAATTGTTTATATATATATATATATATATATAGATCCATGTATTAAGCGATACAGCAAGATGGATGGGTGAAAGGATAGATGGGCTGATGGCCTGAGATAGATTGGATATGTCTTCGTCTTTCCACTTGTCAAGGTTGGAAGGAAGAATTAAAATTGAAATAGCACAATGAATCACACTACACCTCCATCACAGTTTAACATTGGAGTTAGTTTCCTACCACCACCATGGGATGCATGATCAACTCCACTATTCACTCATCACTCAGCAGTGGGAGTTAGTTGTGTGTTTCTGAGACTAAAGCATCTTGAAACGCAGACTTCATGGTGCAACTATCGTTTTCGCCCACAGCATGTCTTTGTGTCTGGCGACAGTCGTGTGGAACCCTCACACTAGTAGTGGAACCGCCATGATCTCAGAGGCTCGCATTTGGTTTGCTTGTACTACTGACACAGTATTTACTACTACGCACCGCCCAAACACTGTGGCAGATTGCATTCTCATTGGACGCTACCCACTCTCTCTGTCTGTAGCAATGAATGAAATTAATATGCTTCCTCTTGAATGTCCTCACTTTTAGTTGGCAAACCACACAAGTGTAACTTCTGTGGGCGGAGCTACAAACAGCGCACTTCTCTGGAGGAACATAAAGAGCGCTGCCATAGTTACCTGCATGGTATCGGCTTGGATCCGAGCGCCAACACTGGCCCTTACACAGGTAAATTGTTTTACTAAAGCTGTAACCATGAAAATGAAGGTGGCCTAAATTGTAAATTGGAATCAGTACAAAAAAGGTGGATCTCACAGGAGAAATCTGTAATAACATATACACTGTGAAGTTTACTTGTGAATTTTGTATTTGTTGCAATCAAACCAATTGGTCCAGTATGGAAAACATCTCTGTAGAAGTGGATTGAAATTTGAAAAGGCTGATATGAAGCACACATTAGTACAATTCTTTACAGAAAGTTGTCTGGCTGTTTATTTATTATCAACTAAATGTTTATTTTTCTTTCAACTTTTAATTATATGTTCATACATTTATACAGATTTCATAATCTATTAATAATTATATAACTGCATTTTATATTTAATTCATTCAATCATTAATCATTTTAAGACAATTGAGTGACAGAAATAACATTTCCTGAGGAAGGTTTATGGGGCAAGAGGTTAAGATTAAATTTCAGGCTGTGATTAAAAAAAATTTGAATTCAAAATTCAGATTTTCTTTTTGTTTTCACCTCCCAAGAAAAGAGATTTCGCGATTTAACAATGTTATTTTTCTGTTTAACTGAACACGTAAATATATTCTTGCCTTTTCTAACCCCCTTCCCTTCTCAAACCTTTAAGGTAAGGTCCCTAAAGACCCAAGGCCCATGGCGGAGCCCAACACCATGCCTACCTTTGATCGGCCACCTGTCATTGAAAGACTGCTCAGCAACGTGGGCAAGAGGAAGAGCACCACGCCTCAGAAATTTGTGGGTGGGTATTGAAATAAAGCCAGTCAAATAATGTCTTTCTCTACTTTAGTCTGTGTGGAGTGTCCATGAGGATCAGCCTGATACAGTTTTATTTAATGTTATTACATTTCAACTCCTCCATTTTCTTTCTATCAACTGCCCTATGAGCTCAGATTTCTTTCTCAGAACTTGGTTTTTATTTGCCTCACTATTAAAAAAAGAGATCATGCAAGCTAGAGCAAGCAGTTGACTGAGAGGCAAGGAAATGTTTTTCTCTCTGTGGTTAGGTACACCTGTAACTTTGTCATTGCTCTTATCGAGAGAAAACAGCTCACCGCATCCCTGTTCAGGAGGGGTTAAACAGTGCATTACTAGATGGATGGGGTTTTCCACCTCATAAGATTTGTACAAACAGAATATCAAGTTGAAAATATGAAAAATAAATCCTGAAATATCAGCAAGATACAACTTTGACTGACTGGAAAGGACATTTAGTGAAGTCAAGCCGTGCTCATATGTTTGTGCACATTTTTTTTCTCTCTTGTTTGTAGCTAATAGCAAGAGTGTGGCCCTCCTCTTAAGCTAATGCATTTATATTCATTATGTTTTGTATCTTGCATTATGAAATTGGCATAAACTTGCTAAATCTTTTCATTTCCACACATTCATAGTGCCACTATTTCATGCAGGTGAAAAGATGGTACGCTACAGATACCCTGAACTAGGCTATGAGATGGGCCTTAAGTATGAGAAGCAGGCTGAACTGATGTCGGCCCACATGATGGACCAGGCCATCAGCAATGCCATCACATACCTGGGATCGGAAACTCTTCAGCCCATGCTCCATCATCCGGGTCCCCCTCTCTCTATGCCTGAAGGGGTGCCTATGGTCAACCCCCTCTTCCACCATGCCCTGCCATTGGGCCAACGAACAGATCATCCAGGAAACTATGACACGCTGAAACCTCAGCATCTTCAGCCCCTTCAGCCCCATGACTTCCCCAGCCATCCCACCACTAATGGCCCAACTGCCTTATCCAGGCTGGGCAAGCTGCACCATGCAGGGCAAGAAGAATCTCCCAACAACAGTGGAATTGACTCTGCTGACTCAGCTCGCAGCAGCCCTCGTGAGAGGCAGGGACACCATGGGAGCAACCCCATTCCCGGCCTCAGTTCTCGAGCCAGTCCAGCGGTGGGCTATTCAGGTGACCGGGTGACAGAAGCGTCACCTAGAAGTGTTGCAGGAATGGGGACTGGGATAATGCGAGTGGCCACAGAGAAGCCTGTGAGCCAGGATGGGGTTCGGGTGTTTGGACGAGAGGGCCAGGAGTTACGGGCCTACCAGTGCGAGCACTGCCGGGTGCTCTTCCTGGACCATGTCATGTACACCATCCACATGGGTTGCCATGGATACAGAGATCCATTGGAGTGCAACATCTGTGGTCACCGCAGCAAAGACAGCTATGAGTTCTCCTCTCACATAGTCCGTGGTGAACACACCATCCAGTAAAAGGATGGGTGGGAATTTAGGGAAAGACAAAAGGAAGGAAAGGAGCAATAGCCTGATATCCGTCCTTACCCTCAGGCATCTGAGACTGCACAGTTGAAGGGCACTGTAGACAAGTGTAGCACAATCATAGCAGATACTTATTTTAAGCTAATTATGTGACTCTGGACAGTTGAACAATCATATGAAGGTATGGGCCAAAGACATATTTTCTACATATTTCATTGAGATTAATAAAGAAGAAGGAAGGTGAGTTGTTTTGTTTTCTCGCAAAATGTTCATGAATTGTTTAACAGAGCAGCTGTCAAACTACTTAAACTAGTTTTTCATTTTAGTCTTATTTGGAAAGGTCTCCTGTTGTGCTTGTCTTGTCATCGTGGTTTTGTTACAGAAGTAAAGAATGCTTACAAATGCAATGTCATGTGTTAAATACAATGTCATATTTAACACAAGGCAGAGGTAAAGACTTCAGATATTCTCTAAGTTAATTAAATAATAATAATACAATTCATGATTTATGTCATGGACATAATAACAGTATGTATTTAATTGGCCCACTTAGTATGGCATATCACACAGGACCCATGTAGTTTTATTTTTCTTTCTTGTTTATGATATTGCCAAGGCCTAATAATGCTTGTTTTTCCTCATGAAAAATGATGGTACACATATTGTCATGGTCAACTGGTGCTGTATGTTCTAGCTGCAAGCAACTTGATGTCCATTTGGACTTGATTGCCACCAGTGGTGTGGTTGTCTCTGATTGTAGGCTATCTACCGTATCTGCAGCTGTAGACATTTGACTTGCCATCATCTTCAGAATTAGGTTGTGGTTTAGTATTGCTGCGTGTATTTGCATAGTTTCCATGGATTAGCATACATAGATTACTTCCAAATTTGTAGAAATCAAGCTTACTTTAGACTTTACTGTGGACCCCCAATAATGGATACAATAACAAATGCATTTAATTGAGACATTTCCCTTTTAGTACTGTAAATAAATGTGAAGGGAACTTGTAGGCTATGAATCCATGAAGAGAAGTGTTAATACGAGTGTATTGAATGTGTCAATAAACACAAATACAAAATAGATTTACAGATGCATATCACACATTGTACATGGCGGTAGGCTAATCACAAATGCATTTTCCAACCCACTAACACATGCAAATAAATGTTACATATATAGAATGCATTTAAAACAATTCATGTTCCTTTAATTAATACCTAATTTGTGAAGCTGGTGAAGTTTAAAACAAAATCAGACGACACCCAAAAGCTAATGCTAAAAGGCTACGTAGCCTGCTGATAACAGAAAACTACCTCTTAACAACCACTTTGTAAGATTCAGCCAATGTGATAGCCTTCTTTAATACACTTCGACTGCAGTTATATAGAATAAAAGGGCTGTTTTTTGTCTTTGCTACACTTGAGTAGTGGACCAGCTATGCTAAACACCAATGCTAGTGAAGCTAGCTAGCTAAGTAGCCTACAAACCTCTCACAAAATCCTATCAATGTTTTAGACTATCAATTGCTTAGTGTTTACTTACACCACTCGTTTTTGAACTATCAGGGGCTGGTAAAGCACTTCCATACCACTACTAGCTCAGAGAAAGAAGACCACCAACTTCCTGTGGCTGACTTGTATGTTTTGTAATTTTAAAAGACAAAATTCCAAACTATTTGGAAAAAATATATATAATACTAGTTTATTCTATAAATATATCAAAAAGACTGCATTTTTAAAATGGCTACATGTGTAATCAAATCCGCATGCAGATAGGGAAACAAATTACAAACATTTTACAATCATATGCACAAGAAGCATTTCCAACCCAAGTTTAAATATAATGCATTTAGAGTTCATTCTAATACAATTATAAAATATGCTCTTAAGATTGTCATATACATTTGTAAATCTATATATTTCTATCTCATGAAACTGCATTTGTTGCTTGTATTTGGACTTGTTACTCTCCACAGTAGTCAGCCTCTGTTCAGTTTGCACTTACAAGGTAAAACTATTGATTATGAAGCAAAGTTACAATGAAAGGAAAACAAGGAAGTAAACAATGCTTAGCCTAATGGAATTTATCAGCCCAGTGGCCCTAAAAAGGTAAATATTTTTCTCTCATCTGCTAAGCTAATGCGTATTTCGCACAAATAGCTGGCCACTTACATGTTTCCCTGACTGTTCCTATACAAAATTATTCGATCCTGGTGACTCATGAGTTGTGTTTCCTGCAGTTTGAGCACACAGTTAGATTCCTTAACGAGTATTATAGTTAGTTTGAAACTGGCAGACTTACACATTGACAGAGGGTGGTAGCTGTTTTCATTTTGATGACTTAAAATGATGCTTTATGGCAATGGGTACCAAAGAGATAAAGGAGGCTAAAGATACTTTACTGCTTTAGGCTTCTCTTTTTGATCTAAGCCACTTTGTGCTTTAGGCTGGATGGCTGTGTGTATGTATATATAATTGTTGTGCTTTTTTGGGGGTAGGGTCTGCATTATTGGTGCTGTTTTCTAGCACAGTGAATACATGCTTATGTGTCTGGTTCAATGCCAGCTTTCATCCTATTTGTAGGTCATGACAAAGACAGGGAAAATTTGCAAACTCTGCACAGCTGTTTTTGATGTGCTTCGTCTTTTGAACCTTAACATTTTGCGTCGAGCAACTTAATTAGGAGCTGAGGGAATAGAGGAAATTCTTTATGTTATGGTGGGCATTTGTCCTGCTGATTTTTTGCTTAAATGTTGCGACATTCATGTATAACCTCATGAAGCATGAACATGAGTGTGGTTACCATATAGTTTTACTCTGAAGGCATCTCCAAAACTGTAGCATTCCACTGTAAGGCTGCTCTGACATAAAAGGCACAACATGTAAATGGCGAGTAAGAGATTAGCAACTCTCCAGCACCAAATTTCTTGTCCATCATCTACAGTGTATTGAAGGATAACACATCTCGATCAGTGAGGCTAGCTGCAGTGCTTGCATACTTACAGTACTGTCTCTCCCTGTGAAAGGTCACAGATAAGACTGTGCTTTGTACAGTTGGCCCTGCACTTTATGTCCATTTCCTGACGAAAAAATAACTTTGCTTTTTTTCTTCTTTTTTTTTTTACATTTAAGTGTAGATAGAATAGGAAACAATCATTGGCAGATGAACGTTGATGAACAGAACATTGACATGTTGGTCTTTTCTCTGAAAATACAATCTTGGAGATACACATGGCAAATTCTTTCTATGCTGTCTGATGAACATTTTAATTTTGTAACAATACCCACATGATGTCTGGCATTACTAATTTCACTCTAGTCAGCATTTTAAACAGTTGATTATTCTGTAAGGTCAAACTCAGTGATTTGCTTTTCTATGTTTAATATCTACTTGTGATCAAAAGGCAGCTTTTTCTCTGTTTACGTGCCGCTTCTCTTGTGCACAACTGGTGCCCAGCTGGAACAAAATCCTATACTGTCTGTAAAGTATTGGCCCTGGAAATTGTTTATACCTCACAGCTCTGATAATGACTCTATACATTCCTCAACTATAGCATTCCTGTATTCTCTGAAGCCTTATCCTCCTAAAAGAACATATCCTTTTTATAATCCTATGATCAAATGTAAATTAATGTTAGCCTGATTTACTTCCTTAATCCCCTTCAAAAGAATACAAACAGACCAGAACTAATTTAACTTGAATAGGGCATAACATAAAACCGGATGTTCAAATGAAAAGTTATTTTCTCAGTTCTAATATCTTCTCCAGGTTACATTTGGTAAGACATTGGGGCACAGAAGTATTTATTTGTTGTTCTCATGGTAATGTTGTAACAAGGACAGCCTTACACAATATGTAAATGAAGCAGCCATATGAGCTTAAAAAGTAAGAAAAAGGGTCTTCTGTCAGCCCTACTTGTGAGTGAGGAGTTTACTTGAAAATCAAGATCATTGCTCTTGTTTCTGATTGCGGGGTTGTTTTTGTACATTTTGAAGATGTGTGTGCAAAATGTCTATTTTTCTGCTGAAATGTTAATGTAAATAGTTTTGTGATCTTTTGCGTGTGTTTTTTTAAGTTTAAAAATGTTTACAAATATGTAGAAGACAGGGTTCAGGTGAATTGTATTTTATAAAAAATAATATATGGAAGGAGTATATTTTGGCACTGAATACTGAAATTATCCAGAAACATGTGCAGCTGATTGATCGTCTCTGATATGGATAACAAGTTTCTGATGTGAGGGCTCTCAGGTATTTGCATAGGTTGTGTATTTTTATGTCCTAAAATATGTGATTTATTTATCAAAAAGATGCACAGTAATTGAAATTGTTGGTCAACCCTCATGACTTAAATCAGAAGTTAGATGATTCAACATCAATGACATAACATGAAGGCACATTGCTGTGAAGAATACAATGTATATTTTTAAGGCATGGGTTTCTCTCTATTAAAGACATGGTTTTACTGCTTTGCCTATTGTCAGAAATATTTGCTTTCTTCAAAACATGCAGACTGTATCCTTACATGCAATTAAAGAATTTTATTGTGAGACAAAAATGCAGTGCCACTTTTTAGAAATAACATACAGAATGTGAGATCTCGTTTGGGCAAATTGTCCATGTAAACCTTAAAAGGCTATTTTCCTGGTCATTAATCATGGAAATGTCAAATGGACTGTGCTCTACATGTCAACATTCACCCATTCACACACATTCATACACTGATGGACGGGGGCTCCCATACAAGGTGCCACCGGCTCATCAGGATCTAATCTAAATGCTGCGTCATTTATTGCCTTTAAATGAAAATATATAAAACAAAATGTCAGCAATTGGTAGCTTCCGTTCTAGTGTCAAGCAAATCAGAGGGAGCTGGTTGCCAAATACATCGTTCTGTCCATAAAATCGTCTTTCATAATGTAAAGAACAGTTTCTAGATCATACTGTACAGCCTCAGTGCCTTGCCTTAGTTTGCAATGTAATGACTGTTGTTTGTTCCTCTCCAGTCTTTGTCTATGAGCAGGTGGGCGCTGGAGCCTGTTGAAGCCTCTAAATGTCAGAGCAGTCTTCTTCACCCCCTTACTTCTTTAATCTGTCTATTGCAAACACACACACACACACACACACACACCGACACACATTCACACAGCAAACACAAAATCAAAGCTGCATGAAGGCGGTAGCAAAACTGAGAAGTGTAAAGCCTGAACAGACCCCAAACTGTATCTTTTCATCTTCAGATCTATTTACCTTGCTGTCAGTTGATTGTTTGTTCCCATCTAGATCATATCTCTGTTTGACTCATATTTTCAAAACAAGGGTGATACACCTGCCCTCGCTGTGGTGCTCTTCTGACAGAAAGCCTTTTTCTCACACATTGCACTTATTATGGAAAAAACAAATATTTTGACGACTAAATAAGGAGAAAAAAAAGATAATTGCATTAATTTTGAACCGTTTTTAACGTTATTTAATAAAAAATGTTAGTCTTAAAAGCTTTTGTTTTGGGAGAATGCAAAGGGATTTTGTAAGGTTAATTGAACGCTGCATGCCAGTGTTATCTTCACTGAGGAGAAGAAAAAATCCAATTGTTAATCAATCTTTTTCATGGTATGGAGGCATGACATTACTCGTTGGGGGAGAGTCAACCATCAGAGTAATGCATGTTCTTCCTCCTGCTTCGGGCTAAATCACCATTTCATTTAAAATCCCTCATGTTTACTGCAGCTTCTGGTTCAGCTTGATGATTTGATGCACTGCAATTAAATACCCACCATGTTAAAGAATAGCTGAGGACAGTCTTTGCGTAAGATTATCAAGGAAAGTATTGTTGTAGGTAATGAAGCACCTTGCTCTTAACATAAGAACGTTTTTTGAAATAAGTTAGCAGCTGACTGTCAGCCAAGTTATTAGTAATTCACAGCTTAAGTGTTAAGTGTGAAATAAAAGGTGATCTATTATTAAATACAATAATAATGTCCTGATTATTATTATAAGTGCTTTAAGTCTGGGGTCTGAGATCTGAAAAATGAACCGTTGACTCAATGTCATGTTTTGACCCTGTCAGTGAGGATGATGGCACATAAACCTGCCGGAATACCAGTATGGTCAGTATGAAAGGTTCAAAGTAGTTCGTAGTTTGAAGAAGTCTTGATATTGACCACTTCCTACTTAACATGAGAGTCTGCTAAGTCCAGCAGTGTAGTTTTTTTGGGGATGGTGGATGCACAAATTATGATTGCACATATTAGAATGACAGCATATTGCTAAGTATTATTTAGATATAACCTCTGCGGTCAAAGAATTCAGCCCGAGAGCTGCTATTTGTTTTTTGTTCTCAGGACGGGGGCCTGAGACAGCTTTGTGGCTGTGGTTGCGATACGTCCTCTGTCGGGTTCCACTGCCCAAGCCACTTCTTCTGCAAATCCTGTCAGACAATGAGAGCTGCCTGCGGGGTGTCAAAAGCATATTGGAAACTGCTCCATCCAGACCTATGAGAACAGGCACACTTTACACACTAGTTTGAACACCAAAACACACCCGATAGTGGATACTCAGTAGATCCTGGAGTCTGACAAACATTCAGCCAGTACACCATGTTGATGAAAATAAAATGTGAATAACACGACTATATAAAAATATCATGTTTTGCAATGTAATTTCTATGTTGGCGGAAAAAGCATTGTTTTCTCTGCTTACAGTGATAAATGTACACATATGGTGCAGATGACAGCACTTATGTACAGTCTTTAAATCAAAACGAATAACCACATGGATTGTCACTGTATTTTTTAAGCAGGTCAGAATCAATGTTGCTTTTCTCTAAGCTACAAGTGGCACAGCCTGTCCTCTGGGTTTCAGGTTACAGATCAGGCAGCAGTTCCAGCAGATCTTTTTCAGCCAAGTGTGAATCCACAGCAACGTTGTGCAATCGCCTGGTGACAAGTCCTATTCCTGTTTTTCCTGCCAGGTAGTGGTGGATGTTTGGACTGGCCCTTAAAACCTCACACACACCAGCAAAGACATGAATGCACACAAACACTCACACACACACCCAGTTAATTTCTGTTACACACCCTCATGTTAGTAGTTTGTGAGGTTTGTTGCAGCACAGCAGAAATGTGGTATCACAGGCCGTAGCTTTGTTAAGTATTTTGTGCTGCTAGTGTTTGATGTAATGTAAGAAACTGGGAAATTATTGATGCAATCCACTCACTTATTGGTGAAATGTCAGTGTTGAAACATTAGCAGTGAGCTATAGGAAGGAGTGGACCTACTAAGCTTGACAATCTGTGAGCGATCCTGAAAACTGACATGGGTGGTTTCCTTACTACTATGTCTGCCCACTTGACTGAAAGATGTTCAGTGGTAGTAGGGCTGGTGTGTGTGTGTGTGTGTGTGTGTGTGTGTGTGTGTGTGTGTGTGTG